CACCTTTGAAAAAAAATCGTCTCCTATTTCTGCACTTAGAATTATAGATACCCTTCCGGATTCCAGTGTATGATAAAACCCTTCTTTTTATATACTCGTAATATTATGTGAGGCAGCGAGGGGAAATCAGGCGCTCTTCAAAGTAGTGAAATCAAAGAAAATGGCAATTTTCTGACTGGTGGGCAGTTGGATTTTAAAAATATTTTTAGTTTCTTAACACCTTTTATGTCTATTTAAAAAACATTTCTGTTTGGATTTTACTGAAAAATGTTTTTCAAATGCACAAAAAATACAAATTTCTAGTTTCCAAGAACACTCAAACTTTGGAAGTGAACAAACTTTGGCAGTCATCCTCTCGATAATTTTAACTCTGACACCTGGCAACCCCCATCTCCTTCAATCGCAAATATCTCGACTTCTACTCAAGATAAATGTGTATTTTTTTCGCCAAGGGGGAGACAAATGGGTAGGCTTTAAGATAATACTAAAACTCCATACGCCCGAAAATTGACGAGTACCTGATTCCACAGTGTCGTGACACATATGTTTTTTTATGTCACTCTACTGTGATGTTCCACAGGGCCAGGTCTTGTTTTTGTGGTGTACCCAGAGGCCATCTCCTATCTCCCTCTGCCACAACTGTGGGGTGTTCTTTTCTTTATTATGCTCTTCACTCTTGGACTAGACACTCAGGTGAGTGATTGCGCCCTGTTTAAGTCAGTGCACAAAGTTAATTTATGATAATGTATGCAACAATTGCATTTGTAAAATAATGTTGCATACTAGGTATACATTATGTACACCCCCCCCCCACCTCCCCTCTTGTCTACAGCTAAATGTCAAAGTGCACTTTAATTATTTATGTGAATGTTTACAATGCTGTGCATACATCATGTACTCACCGTACCCCCCCCCCCTAAAAAACCCAAACCAACCAACAAACAAACAAACAAAAGAAGCAAAAAAAAACACAAAAAAAACCCCCCCCACAAAATGACACAACCGAACACATACGCAAACATTAACACATACTTCTTCACACACACTCTAACAAGCTCAAATAAAAACACATACACACACACGCACGCACACGCGCGCACACACACACACACACACACACACACACACATACACACACACACATACATACAGCGCGCGCCCGCGCCCTCGCCAGCACCCGTACCACGTGCACTTTATTTATCCCGAGACAAAATTAATAAATGTAGAAATTATCCATTCAGCCAAACCCTGCTATTTCTTCTCTTTCTCTCTACTCATTTTGATCCGATAGCCCTGAAATAGAAGTAAGGCGTTGTGCTAAACGTTTTTGAGTTATGATGTCCTTACAAATTTTTTTAAATGTTGCGTCGGTGGCCTAGTGGTTAGGCTACCGGACTCGTAATCGTGAGGTTTGAGGTCCAGCGTTCGAGCCGCGGGCCTGACGTTGTGTCCTTGTGAGAGGCACTTTACAGTAGTGTTTTAGCGCCTATAATTGGCTGCTTGCGCTGTATGCTTCCCAGGAAGTTGAAGTTGTTTCAGAATGCTCTCAGGTCGCTGAAGTAATAGTATAGATTGTAAAGCGCATAGAGCTTGCATTTGAACGAGGATCTGCGCTATACAAATGCTATCTATCTATCTATCTATCTATCTATCTATCTATCTATCTATCTATCTATCTATTTATCTATTTATCTATCTATTTATCTATTATTATTACTATTATTATTATCATTATCATTATTATTATTATTATTATTATTATTATTATTATCATAATCTTTTTAAAAAAAGAAACCGATACTCACTTTTAAAACTGAATTTTTTAACATATGTAACCTAATAGATAGCGCAGAATAAGGCAACGTTCTGGCAGATGATAACAATACACCTGTTCAAAACATTAACTCTGGTGAACAAATGGAGTGTCCTGCAAAAGCTTGTAAACAGATGGGGTACACGAAAAGTCAGTACCAGGTATGAGCACCATTTGCTTTGATCACTGCTCGGAAATCGGGAACCCATGGATGGCATCAAGTTTGCAATAACATGTTGTGGGGTGGTCTGTCACTCATGCTGGAGTGCCACAAGAAGCTCTGGAAGTGTCTGAGGTGGCAGATTCCACTGTCACACCCGTCGATCCTACTCGTCCCATAAGTGTTCGATTGGAGACAAATCCGATGAACGGCAGGCCATGGTAGAGTCGGGATGTTTTTGGCACGCAAGAAGTCTCCACATACCCGTGCAACATGTGGACAAGCGCTGTCCTGTTGCAAAATGCCACCATTAGTGTTCAGATATGGAACAACATGAGGCTGCAATATCTCATCTCTGTAGCTGACACCCGTCACTTTGTGCTGGCACCATTGGAGACATTCTGCCACGTACTGTGCGGTCAACATGTTATGTCTAACTAGTCTTCCAGCAAAGAGTCCTGCCTCCCTGAGACGATTGCGGACTGTCTGGTAAGAAATTTGTCTATGTCCAGTGATTTTAACAGCTGTAGACGTTGCTGCTGTGGTTGAATCTCGAGGGTGGCGCACACGGATATAACGATCATGGGCCGCAGAAGTGACCATGGGTCGACCTGACCTAGGCCTGTCATTATCACTTTGGGTGTTGTTGTATCGTGTCCATAACGCAGCAATGGTGGGTCTGGACACGCCAAAGTGCCTTGCAACGGCTTACTAGATCTAAGTCACCCGCCCTACTTCCAATCGTCCGATTGCATTATTGTGTTCAGCATCAGTCAACCTTAGCATTTTTCAGTTGTCTTCGGTTGTGTTACATAGACAATGGGGACCCGGGGTTGTTGTGGCTTTTTGTACGCCAGTGAGGGAGGTTACAGAATGCTGAGTTGCAGACCACTACTGTGCACCGCCATTACGGGTTCAGTAACAACTCGCCTATTCGGACGTTTTGATATGCACTGCGCGTGATTAATGGTGTTTTGGTGACTACACTTGATCCTTCACAAAACTCTGTCCCTAATATTTGAATTTTTGTTTTGCGTTTCTTAATATTCGAAATATACCAAGTGTCAAGTTTCTTTTTTGGAAGAGTATATTATTAATTGTTTCTCTCCCTCTGCTAGTAGTTTTGCTAATGGACATTTGTGATGTGGGATTTGATGTGCCTGTATGCAATTCTCTCTATTTGTTTGTCTGTCTGTGTGTCTGTCTGTGTGTCTGTCTATCTGTTTATGTCTTTTTTCTTATAGTAGAGGGTTTTACGGCGCTCGCAACTGCATACGGTCATATGAGCGCCATGTTTATGTCTCTTTGTCTCTCTGTCTCTCTGTCTCTCTCTCTCTCTTTTTTTGTATGTGTCTATCTTCTCTCTCCCTCTCTCTCTCTCTCTCTCTCTCTCTCTCTCTCT